CCAAAACCCACTACACGGTGTTGATGGGAGACTTCAACGCAAAACTGGGCACAAGAGAAAGCGGTGAGCTGAAGGTGGGGAAATTTGGAGTAGGGCAACGGAACCGAAGGGGCCAGCAGCTGGCCGACTTTATGGAGAAAGAGGGACTCTTTATGATGAACTCTTTCTTCCAGAAGCGGCCCCACAGGAAGTGGACTTGGTCGAGCCCCGACGGTTCGACAAAAAATTAGATTGACTTCATTATGACGACCAGACGCCAACTGTTCAGTGATGTCTCAGTGATCGCAAGGGTGAAAACTGGCAGCGATCACCGAATGGTTAGAGGCACACTGAACCTAAACGTTAAGTTGGAGAGGTCTCGTCTAATGAAGTCAACGCTCCGTCCCCCTCGTGCTCTAATCCAGAATCCCGAAACCTTTCAGCTCGAGTTACAAAACCGCTTTCAGTGCCTAGAGGATTGCAATGCAGTGGACGATATGAATGACAAGCTCGTGGAAACTGTCCATGCGGTCGGAGCTAAGTTCAGCAAGACCCGCCGCAGAAGTACATAAAAACTTTCCGATCGCACTCTTAATCTCATGGCTGTTAGACGGGAGATGAGACTGCAATCTTCAACAGATTTGACAGCATACAGGCAGCTGAACAGACAGATCTCCGAATGTATGCGGCGAGACTTACGCAACTTTAATACTGCTCGTATTAAAGAAGCGATCGAGCGGAACCAGGGCTCCAAAGTCTTTGCCAGAGATCTGTCTGCCAGAAGGAGCCAACTGTCAAGGCTGAAGACTGAGTGTGGCAACATCGTTTCCGGGACACCTGAGATTCTGAGTGAGATTGAGAAGTTCTATGGGCAGCTGTACACATCATTGTTGGAGCCACACGCAAGTGTGAGTAACGATCCAAGAGCAAGTCTTATCCGACACTATTCCGATGATATCCCGGACGTCAGTCTGAGCGAGATTAGAATGGCTCTCCACCACCTTAAAAACGGCAAGGCCCCGGGCGAGGATGGAATTACAGCGGAGCTTCTGAAAGCGGGTGGAACACCGGTACTTGAAGTCCTTCAGAAGCTCTTCAATTCCGTCCTCCATGGTGGCATTACTCCGGAGGCGTGGAGCAGAAGCGCGGTGGTCTTGTTCTTTAAGAAAGGTGACAACGCTCTCTTGAAGAACTACAGACCGATTTCCCTTCTGAGCCGCGTCTACGTGCTGTTTTCGAGAGTCATTACGAATCGTCTCGCACGCAGACTCGACGACTTCCAGCCTCCCGAACAAGCCGGTTTCCGAAAAGGCTTCAGTACCATAGACCACATACATACCCTTCGGAAAATTGTACAGAAGTCCGAAGAGTACAATCTACCACTTTGCTTGGCGTATGTGGACTATGAGAAAGCCTTTGATTCCGTCGAAATTTGGGCGGTGCTACAGTCTCTTCAGCGGTGCCTAGTTGACTGTCGGTATATTGAAGTGCTAAAGTGTTTGTACAGTAGGGCTACGATGGCTATCCGAGTACAGAACCAGAGTACGAAACCTATCCAACTGCAGAGAGGTGTAAGACAGGGTGATGTTATATCCCCGAAACTCTTCACCGCTGCGTTGGAAGACGTTTTCAAGTTACTGGACTGGAAAGGATACGGTATTAACATCAATGGCGAGTACATCACTCACCTTCGATTTGCCGACGATATAGTCCTTATGGCAGAATCGCTGGAGGACCTTAGCACTATGCTCAATGACCTCAATGGTGTCTCCCAACGGATAGGTCTTAAGATGAACATGGACAAAACAAAGATCATGTTTAATGTCCATGTCACACCTATGCCGGTAATTGTTGGGAGCACTATGCTCGAAGTTGTTGACGAGTACGTTTACCTGGGACAAATAGTCCGACTAGGTAAGTCCAATTTCAACCGAGAGGTCAATGGACGGATTCAACTCGGCTGGGCAGCGTTCGGGAAATTACGACACATCTTCTCATCAGGTATACCTCAATCTCTGAAAACTAAAGTGTATAACCAGTGCGTGTTGCCAGTTATGACTTACGGATCTGAGACGTGGTCCTCTACCGCTGCCCGTATGAGGACGCTCAAGGTCGCTCAGCGAGCTATGGAGAGGGCTATGCTCGGAGTTTCACTGCGTGATAGACTCAGAAATGAGGATATCCGCAGTGAAACCAGAGTGACCGACATAGCCCAACGGATTAGTAAGCTGAAGTGGCAATGGGCCGGCCATATAGCTCGAAGAACCGATAACCGATGGGGAAGAAAGGTTCTCGAGTGGCAGCCTCGTACCGGTAGGCGTAGTGTAGGGCGACCCCCCACTAGATGGAGTGACGACCTGGTAAGACATGCAGGAAGTCGATGGATGCAGGTGGCTCAGGACCGTGCTGTGTGGCATTACTTGGGGGAGGCCTATTTTCAGCAGTGAACTTGTGAAGAGCTGTAATGATGATGATGATATATATATATATATATATATATATATATATATAATAACCATTAACATTATAGGTATTAAAAAGAGCCGTAGATCCGATGGTTAACGCTCGCTGTAAAAACGACAGAGCGCGAGGGTTTGATCCCCGCCGGCACCAATGAAATTGTTAATTGCAATTTTAAGTGCTGATTTACCACGTGCGGCGGTGAAGGAAAACATCTTGAGGAAACCTATATATGCCTGAGAAATAAGGAAAAAATATTTCGAAGACATGTGAAGTTCGCCAACACGCATTGGGGCTACGTAGCAGTCACTTACTTGCCCTAAAATCCTCTCAGAAATGAGGGAAGGCCTGCGCCCAGCAGTGGGACGTATATAGGCCGTAACTTTACTTTATTTTATTATAGGTATTCAGGTTATGGTAATTCTATAAACAGTATAATCTAACATTATATTGTTTATAAAATTACTATAACCTGAACGCCAGTAGGTTTTGAGTTGATGTTGTAGAATCAATAGAAATGAGTTATTTTACAAATTTTTACAAAATCCTTTCATCTTCGTCAGAATTATTACCACAAAGATATATACTTAATATGTGGTAGATACTGTACTGTATAACAGCCTGGCCACGGGACATTCGCCGTAGCGAAAATTCGCGCGGCGCGAACGGCGAGGCGTCTAGTGACTAAAACAAATGTATAGAAGTGTATGGAGCAAGCCACGCGTAGCGGCGAGTGGCGACGCGACCGGCGAAATTTACCAGGCGAATCGCGCGGGTGACTGGCGGCGCGGCGGTCGATTAAAACAAATGTATGAATCAGTACGGTGCAAGCCACGGAGTCGGGCGGTAGACGCGGCGGCAGACGCGGCGAATAGTATAGGGAACAAAATATTTTAGTTGTTTTCGCCACGAAAAATGCCGGGCCGACAAAAACAACTTAAAATTCTATCCGCATTGGCTTTTATCTCCAATTCTGGTTGAATATTAACAAGAATATAATCGCAAGTTTCGACACTCATTCTGGTATTTACTCGAAATTTTTTTTTAGATGCATTCTATTTGTTGTAGAATTCTCCATTTATAACCCGATTCCTATTCAAATCATGTACTCCGCAATCTTTTCCAAATATTATGTCTTGAATCAAAAAAACAATTACTTTATAAGAACTATCGAGATAACTTTGATAAAGACATTTCAGTCTCGGCCTATCTGGTCGCGGCGGCAAACGTGACTTTCCGTGGCCCTAAAATCGCGCCGCGCGAATTGTCGCCTCGCCTGTCGCTTCGCCGTTCCCCGTGGCCAGGCTGTAACTGCGTCACAATTTAATCGTTCCGACATCGACACGCTCTCACGGAATGCGAGCGTAAAGTAGCAGCATATAATATGTATAATTGCTATGTTTTGTTTTGTTAGCAACAAGAACTGGAGACTCTTTTTACTGGTTACGAGGCGTTCCATCTAAACCTTCAGTAAAGAAAATGCATGAGTATTTTGCTCCGTATGAATGTTGTATATGTATAACATATTTTACTTAATACTTAGTAGGGATTATGTTAAGGCTGAATCTGAATGACAGAGTAAGGAGTTGTGTGATAAGAGAAAAGTGTGGTTTGTAAGATGATTACCAAGTGACCAGGATTAAGATGATTTTGTTCATGTAAAAAGAGTGAAAGAGATAAGAGGGACAAAAGTCAACAGAGGTAAAGTTGCAAGCTGAAGAAAACCGGATACCTTTTTTACTAGAAACGAGGCATTCCATCTTTGTCCACATGGGTGACAACGCATCTGAATTTTGATTCGTAATCGATGGTAGATGTAGGTGTCTAGAGGACACAAAAATCGTTTACCATCAGGTGGTCTTTGTGCTCGTTTATCACCATTATCTTATATAAAACAGCCATTTTTTAAATTTTGGTCTGTCTGTCTAAATTTCTGTCCGTTCATTTGTTCGTCCTGGAATACTAATTCAACAGAACATACTTAGAGATTTTCAATGGGATCATTTTATATATTCTTAAAGTACTACTAGGTAAACATGTATGTATAACAGTGTTGCACAAAGATTTATAATATTCATGTATGCTTGTCATCCAAATAATCATTCAATGTATAACAGGTAATAGGCCTTGGAATAGAAACACTTTTTGTATAATTTTTTATTTTATTTCTGAGAAGCATAATATTGTATCTATACGTGTGGGTCATCGATTCAAAAAATAATAATTTATTTATCTTAGTCCAAATTTAGGATTATCTATTTTGTAATCATGTATCCAATCACTGCAACTCTATAACATTATTTCTTGTGAACCAAGATTCATATTTTTTGTTAATGCATAATGTTTTAATATAAACACTTAAAATCTTATTCCTCAAATCTGCTATCTGTTATCTCAATGACTTCGTTCATTTTTATAACTTATAATTATCATTACGACTGTAGTGACATGCCAGCAGACAATATTGCTGTTAACGTACAGCTTGTTCACAGGTTACAAAAATTGTTTAATACTTAATTGTTTCCTACTTGCATAAGTAAATGAATGATTACTACAATTATTTAAATCTCGTTTGTTGAATTATTATGTGACATTGTGCACCATGCAATCTCATCAGTACGTTCGAAACCTAATTTTTTATACAATTTATAAGCAGCAGTATTTCCTTTCACACAAAAAGCGACTACATATCTTCCTTGTTTTAACAGAATATTTGATATTAACTTTAAAATCAACTCTCCGTAGCCCTTCCTTCTATGTTTTCCTAATGTATATAAGTGCCCCAGAGCGCCCATTTCTTTTATGTATACCCAGCCAATAAGCTCGCCTTCTTTGAATAAACCATAGCCTAAGTTAGCTCGCGTTAGTAGCTCGAAGTACCACGAAGAACCAGGATATCGATGTGGCCAAGTAGAATCGACTAAGTCAACGTATTCAAGTGACAGTAATTTGAAACTAAGTCCCTGTGGTAGTCTGAAACATTCAATTATTTATAAATTAATATTTTAAATATTAAAATAACTGCAGCAAGAATATGTCGACTTCACTGGGGAGGAACACGCCCTCTCAGCCTAGCAGCGTAAAATAGTAGCAAATGCTACTGTTTCGTATGATGGGTGTAGAAAGTATTTTTATTGGAAACAAGGTATTCCATTTTAGTCGTCAGGAATGACAACACTGTATTTTGGATTCATAATTGACCCACTTACTATTTTAGGTGTATTGTGTGCTCGTTATTTATCTTTACTTATTTGATGTAATGAATTATCAAGTTAGCATTTGTGAATAATATTATAAGATTGTGTGTTTCATTTGATCCATGATTTGTTAGGCTTATTGTTAAAATAATTTAATTCGCTCATAAGTTGCTCGATATATTTTAACTTTTCAGGGGTTTGAAATGAGCATGCTTGATGGTACGTGGTCATTATTGCCTATGAATGGTTGAAGTAGAAAAGAATGGAATTTTCTTCCATATACTGTCAAAATTAATAATTGAGTAGGAATAGAAGTAAAAGTCACAATTTAGATAATTTACCTACAGTGATTCGGCTTGTCGTTTTTACGATTATGACTAACATAAGTGGCTCAGAACCTTGGTTGTCTCAGTGGTCTAGTGGTCGTAAACACAACTGTGGTCCCGTGCTCAAATTCAGGGTCAGGCCAAAATCAGTTATTGGATTTTTCTGTCAAGTAATTCTCAACAGTAAGGAAGTTGACGGTGATTCGTTCCCGTGCCTCGGGGAGTATGTAAAGCCGTTGGTACCGCGCCGCCGGTTGGTATTGGATTGCCGTCGCACCTGAACATGTAAGTGCATCTGTGCTTCCACACACAGTCGTACACTATAAACTTGTCCTGCGCAAATGACTAGTCTCCGTTTAGACTACACTATGACAAATATTTCCTCATGGGACATTATTATTTTTACTAGTGGTAGTATTTCACTTTTAACTGCACATTAATATAGTTATAAAACAAAGATTTTAAATATAACATGAACGAAAAAAAACTTTTTGCTTCGGCATACACCCTACAAACTATTGAAAAAGGATTATTACACAAAATTTACAGCTTATTCAATATTTTAGTAATTATTTGTTCGCAACATTTTAATAACATTTTTGGGCGATAATCTTTATTTTGTGAGACTGTTAAGGTCAGGTGGGGTAAGAGGGACACCGGGGGAAGAGGGACTAGGGACCATAACTAGTAAACCGAAGTGCGTATGACTATGAACTTTTCTTCAATAAAACAGTGAATGCGAAATAGTTTGAACGGTTTTCAATAGATATCGCTACGTGACTCAGAAGTCACAAAAAATTAAGACACATTTGACAGTTGTGAATTCGACTAGTACAAAGTTAGCGCGTTTTTTTGCGAACCAATAGTTTGGTGAAAAAAAGAGAGCTGGAAATATTTTGAATGTAATGATATAAGGAGAAAACTGTAATTATTTATTTTTATTAACCATTTTAGTCTAAAAACAACTAATAATATGAGTTTCTTTCGCTTTAAAATCTAAACCTCCAAAAGCAATAGCTGGGGTAAGAGGCTCACTACTCACGGTGAAAGAGGAACATATGTTTCTTTTACACCATGTCAGGGGTAATACACATTTTGAATAATTTATAATAGTTAAATGAAAAGAATTGACTGACTGTTTTGTACCTACTACACTTTTAAATTATAACTAAACTAGAAATTTCACACAACTTCGTCCACGCTTACCTATTTTTGTGTTAAATTTATTTTTGAAATCGGATTTTAGTTTTTGATTAAGTATCTAAATCATAACAAACAAATAAAAAATCAAATGTTTTCTTTTTTTAAATTAGTTTAGATAAATAAAGTTTCATGCGTTTTGTATACGTCCCTTTCTTTTTAATTGTAATATTATAGCACTTTTGACTGTTGTAGGAATGATATATATCATAAAACATAGCGCGAAAATATATAAGAAAAGTCTGATAGAAGCAGATATAATAATGATAAATTAAGTGAGGCTGTCAATGCGGTATTATATGGAACAATATCTGCATACTTCATATCAAAACTTTAAAATATACCAAGAATAACATTTGTTAACCGTGTATACGACTGCAAAGGTTTAAAATCCAAAGTGCCATTGTTATTTTTATAGAGTGACTAACTAGAGAAAACTAGTTAGGGAGATATATTATTACCGTTTGTATGATTAAATAAATATAACTGGTCAACTTCTTTTTAGTTTGCCACCCCTGATCGAACCTGTATGCCCCTCTAACCCCGAATTGATTTTTCTTCTTTTTCATTTCAAACGATACCTTATTTCATCGGTTGTAAGATCTAATTTTACCGAAGCAGTTCTACTTACAAATTAACGAACATTTAGCAAAGAATATTTTAATTCAAAGTCCAATCTTAAGAAATACAATGACTCTCTAAAATTACCCTCTTACCCCATGTGAGCGGGAAGAGGAACGTTTACTTAATCTTGACATTTACGTCAATATTGTAATAAAAACGGATACTAGCGTAATGACATTTTGCACGTGTGAAGCTAATATATAAAGGCAAGTGTTGTTTGGTTCAAAGATCTTAAAAGACTTTACCTGTTCTTCCTAGCAGTCAAAATATTTTACTGAAAATAAAGTATGTCCCTCTTACCCCACCTGACCTTAATTGTTTGACTGATTGCCTGATGGCCATATATTCAAATACTCTTCTATATTAAGATGTCGCTAAGCCACGTGGTGTCACAGTTACTTCGATAGAGTTAGCACGAGATTTAACGGCATTTTGTTTATTTAACCATGAAAGTAATAACACACAAACATATTATGCTTATACTTCATATCTATACTTGCTTTGAAAAATTAGCAGTTTTGTTTTATTTAATTTTATTTAATGTATCTCTAACACATATTTTAAATTAAGTTTAATTTTGTACTCCGCTCCTTCTCTTTATAAACTTTAACTATGCCAAATCTCACACTTCTCGACCTCGCGCCCGAAACAGATGTGATTGATAATTTTAGGTCCGATTATTAATTACTTACAGACATCGACATCCGACACTATTCCGATGATATCCTAGACGACAGTCTGAGCGAGATTAGAATGGCTCTCCTTTACTTTAAAAATTGCAAGTCCCCGGGCCCACCAACGGGAAAACCAGTGCCTGAAGTTTTTCAAAAGCTCATAAACTCCATCCACCATGGTGGCTTTGTTTCGGAGGCATGCTGCAAAAGTACAGTGATCTTTTTCATCAAGAAAGACGACAAAGCTCTATTGAAGAAATATAGACCAATTTACCTTCTGAGCCGCGTATAGGTGCAGTTTCCGAGAGTCCTTCGAGTACGAATCGTTACGAACGCAGACTCGACGTTTTACAGCCTCCCGAACAAGCCGGTTTCCGAAAAGACTTAAATTCCATAGACCACATACATACCCTTCGTCAAATTGTACAGAAGACCGCAAAGTATAATCTGCTACTTCGCCTTGCGTATGTGGACTATGATATAGTCCCTTCAGCGGTGTCACGTTGACTGCTGGTACATCGAAGTGCTGAAATGTTTATACAGTAGGGCTACGATGGCTATCTGAGTACAGAAACAGAGTACGAAACCTATCCAACTGCAGAGATGTAAGACAGGGTGACGTTATATCCCCGAACCTCTTCACCGCTGCATTGAAAGATGTTTTCACGCTACTGCACTGAAAAGTATACGATAATAACTGTGTAGTAGCCAGGCTAATCAACCCTAAACGACAATAAATAATATATACCCTGCTGCTACTATAACACAGAAGGCGAAGAAAACATTTATTTCCTAATTATCCCCGGCTACTGAGATACTACGGGCTGCATATCGATGCGAGATAATTTGACGTATATATTTAACGTTCTAATAAAGAAACAAGAAACAGCCGCAAATATCATTCAGCGCCACATCGTCTTCACACGCCGCTATCGTCATGTATCCGTCGACCATTTTTGAGCCGATTCTTCAACGCCGCAGCTCGCTTTTTCTTGCTGTTCCGGAGCTGTGTCCCACGCCGCCGCCGCTCGCCGACTACGCGCGCGCACCGGCCTGCACAACTTTTATAGCCCAGTCCAGTAACAGTACAACCAGCGCAATCAGCAACACCAAATATCACCTTTTCGTCGCAACCGCTCTGCAAGTAGAAGTTCAGTTCGAACAAGCTCAGGAACAAGATCCCCTTATTGCTACTATCATCGACGTTTCGGGTTAGAGGCAAGAAAATGCACAACACAGTGTACATTCAAAAATGAAAATACGAACTCGGAAAACTAACTAATACGCTTGATGCGACGGGATTCAGCGTAACAGCAAAGTCCTACCGTCTTTTCGTCATCGATAAAAAAGCCAGCTTACTTTCGTTATCAACACCGGAGCGAATATCTCAGTGTTGTTGAAGCCACTGGATTTTCAACTCTACGCAGCAAATAATACGGTGATTCCTACATATGGAGAAAAAACAATGGAACTGGATTTAAACCTACGCCGACCATTCTAATGGAGATTTATAGTCGCTAAAGTCAGCAAACCAATCATCGATGCTGATTTTCTTCAACATCACCAGTTGATCGTCGAGATCAAAAATAGAAGAATCATCGACGGGAAAACCAATCTTGCATCTCAGTCTTTCGTCCAAGCAACCAATCTGCCCACAATAAGAAGCATAGATGTTCAACAATCGTATCACAAGATCCTTGAAGAATACCCTGGAATCACAAGAATAACTTCAATGAAATTTAACACCGAAGAACGACGTTGAGCATTTCATTGAAACCAATGGACCACCACTTCATTGCCGTGCACGTCCAATCACACCACACCTATACGAGCAAGTTCGAAAGGAATTCGAAAACATGATCGAGCAAGGAATATGCCGTCCAAGCAAAAGCCGTTGGTCATCACCACTTCACATTGTACCAAAGACCTTTTGAAGAATGGAGATTTACGAG